AGCTATACATTAATTTGGGAAGAGCTCGCTGATTCTTATAAACTTCCTGCCCAGCAACAGGATGTGGTCTTTCTTTCTTTCTTTTTTTTCCCCCTCATGTTGTTTATATATTTCTCATTCATGTTTGTCCTGATCTTCCTACAGACCCCGAGTGTTCCTTAAGAGGGTCACTGCTCCGCGTCTTCCTGTGCGCTGGCTCCGTGGTTTCTTTTGTTTGGGAATGAAGTGTGTTTTCTCCCACTTTATCTCCTCGCGGGCCGCGCTGGAAAGCTGTAAGCGATACGGACTTGAAATATGTGCCCTGGGCCTGGCGGCCTTCCCAAAGCCCTCATCATCCTTCCGCTTCTCTGGGTCCCGGGGAAGGGCCGCCCGGCCCCTCCTCCCAGCTACTCGTCTGATTTCCGCTCCACGGCTCCCGATTGTCTTCGGTTTCCAGCCCCGGGCTGAGCAGTAATGGTAAAAGCAGGCACCTCGTGCGGTTCCTGTCCCGGCCGGGCTGCGGGCTGCTCCCAGCGCGGCCGACGGAAGTGCGTGTTTACCGCTCTCTGTGGTGCTGGAGGTCGGTTCTCAGAACGTCCCTTCCCGGTGTTTCACAGTTGATCTTTTAAGATACGCCGGGAGGCGAGCATAAAAATAGGAACTGCCCCCCTCCCCGACCCTTGGCCTAAGAAGCAAGACGTGATGAACCCCATCCCGCGCGGGTGACCCCCGCCCCGCCGGGGGACCATCCATCTGCCACGTGTGCCCCTCACGTCCAGGCATGAGTCAGGGCCGAGTTTAAAAAGCGCGGCCAGTCACGCCACGCCGGCGTTTCCCCCTGTGGCTTGCTTTCGACATGTTGGCAGCGGCTGCGGCCAGCGGTAGGTCGTTGGTTTTAACCGTGTAGACGCCACTCAGGAGCAGAGCACACAGGAGGTTGGGGGCTGTTTGGATTTGGGGGTGGGCAGTCGTCGGGTGCCCTGCCGGGGAGCCGATGGGCCCCAGCACCCCAGCACAGGGTGCCTGCTCCTGGGGACATGGTGTGCTGGACTCCCTACTGTACTCCCCGGCACCCCCCCTCCTGCGCCTGGAGGGAAGTTGAGGCCCGAGCGCCTCCTCCTCCAAGGCCAGGTGCCATGATCACAGCACTGACCGGGGCCTCCACCTGCTAGGAGGCTCCTGTTTGGTTGGTGAGCAGTCGGGGCCAATGCCCCGCACGCGGGTGTCTCTGTTCATCTAGAACTGTCCACACGACTCCTCTGTGCGTGTGGCTTTTCGAGGCCATTGACGCCTTCGGAGCAGAGCCCAGGGTCCTGCAATCGGACGCGCCAGGCCGTTTCTTCATAGCTCGCCCGAGGTTTGGGCCGGAATGCGCTCAGGTGAGGTGATTCCTCCGTGCGGCTCCTCGCCAGGCGAGGGGTACCTGTGTGTGCCGCTATTGGTGATGCTAAGACAGGTCCCCCATTTCCCCTGTTATCCAGGTACCCCTGTGAGGTGTTAGCTGGAGCCTGAGATGTCTGCTCTCTGCGTCCCCCCCACCCCCCGTCCTCCCGGAAGCAGCCCCACTGTGTGGACTGGGCCAGGGAGCTCCTCAGTGTCGTCTGCACCCGCGCTCACCAGGGGGCCTGCTGCAGTGCCGGTCACTGTCCTCTGCCTTCTCTCACACCTACGGCGCTTCAGTGGCCCTGGCTGCCTGTCCCATTCCCTGGCCTCCTGGCTGCTCGCCCCTCCTCCGCCCCGGCTTCCCCATGGCCTTCTTCCTAGCGGGACCCCGAGGTCCCTTCTGGGCCAGGAGCACCAGCCCTTCCCCGGGGACCTGTTAGACCCTCCTCCCTCCACCTGGCCTGCTGTGGCTTTGGGCACCGAGAACTTTTCCTTGTTCTTCTTTTAACTTTCTTCCCATTGAGTGTCTCCATCTCCTGTCATTCTTTCCTAAGTCTGGTGTTTCCCTTTCAGGCGTAGGTCTTCAGACGACCAGGGGCCGATTTCAGCTGGATGTCTTCTGACGAGGGGGCATCTTCCTCCTCCCGCACCGTCGTCCTTGCAGGCGCCCGCGTCGTGGGACTTTCTCTTTCCCGTGTCCCTCTGGGGACCAACATCCCAGTGCCTCAGAGGGCCCGGAAAAGATAGCGTTTTGTTTTGTTTTGCTTGCCTAGTAGTCTTTTTTTTATTTTTTCAGTTTCTTTTTTCTTGTCCTATAGCTGTGGCTGAGACACCTGGGGGAAGGGGAGCAGGGTTCACCACCCAGACATGCGCCTCTCTGGGGGGATGGCTTGTTTTCAGCAGAAACATGTAAAGGCACAGCAGCCGTGGGAGACTCTGAGAACCGAGTGGAGTTGCCCCACCAGCGTTTACATCTGGGGGGGAAATCTCCACGCGTGAGGGCGTCTCCCTCGGGGGCCAGGAAGGGCTGGACGCCTGTAGGCACAGCCGCTGTCCTCGGGAGGAGACAGACGCACAGCCGAGGACCCTAGCTTCCTGTGTTCCAGAACCGCCCCCCCAACATCCTCTCTTGTCTTCATCGGCCTGTGGAGTTTCACGGGGTGGCTGCCACCGCTGGGGAAGCTGCTCTGAGGCCCCTGCCCGCCCCGTGTGTATGAGAGGTGCCCCATGACTGCACATTGATTTGGTCTCCTCCTGCCGATCTGGCTCATGTCAGTGTGGTGACCGGAGCAGGCAGAGAACCTGGGCGGGTAGAAGGAAAGGTTTCCGCCCCGACAGTGACCGTGAAGTAGCAGCCGGGACGCTGGCAGCCCTGCCCGGCTCCGGGTGGTGAAGGGTCTCTTCTGACATCTCCCCGTGCTGTGTACCGTGGGTTCTCGAAGACGGCTGCCCGAGCTGGGGGGAATTGGCCAGTGTTCCGTGCCGTGTCCTGTTTCGTCCTACTTTCTCCCCTCACCTCGAAAGGTTTCTCCCGTGCATCGGCGCACCGATCCGTTTGCTGATGTAAAGCTCTCTTAACAGCACCCTGGGTCAGGATGCGATTTTAAAAAACTCCTGCTGTTTTTTTTGGTGGGGAGATATTTAACTGTTGGTTCAGCGTCTTTATTTTTTTTATTTTTAGAGAGAGAGAAAGAGAGAGAGAGGGAGAGAGAGATGGAAACATCGATGAGGGAGGACATGGATTGGCCGCCTCCTGCGTGTCCCCCACGGGGATCGGGCCCACAACCTGGGCATGTGCCCTGACCGGGAATCAAACTGGCGACCTCTTGGTGCAGGGTCAACACTCAACCACGGAGCCCCACCGGCTGGGCTGGTTCCGTGTCTTTCAAATCAAGTTTTCTACTTCACTTTGAGTCCGTACAGTTGTTGCCTGTGCCCTGGAACATTGTATCCTGTTTTCAAGGAGCCTGTCATCAAGTCCCTCACGTGCTGGTGAATCCAGTCGTCTGTGTTCCCTCCTTACCTAACGCTTGCGTCTCCCCGGTAACTGCTGGGGCACTCGCTCTTGGGAACCCATTTGTAACGTCCTTGATCTTGTCTGTGAATTTTAAAAATTTTATCTTCTTCCCCTGGTTATTTGCATGCTGCTCTCTTTACTGTAGTTTTTTGGTTCATTTTCTCATTTCTTGCATTGGATGTTGACCTTATTAAAACGTGGGGCCCTCTCCCTCCCTTCCCTACTACGAGCATCCGGGCCCCACGTTTCCCGGGGGGGGGGGGCACTGGCCGAAGCGTGTTTGTCGGAGCCCTTGCATTAATTACCCTTCAGCTTGGAAGCACTCCCCTCCTCCACAGTGAGGGTCTGTCGCTGACCCAGGCACTATCTAGCCCTCGCTGTTGCATTTCTGAACATCTAATCAGTGCACTTCCTCCGGTTTGGACTTGGCCACGGAGGGGTGACCACGGCTGGGACCTTCCTGTTGGAGCTTCGGACATCGTCTCCGTGTGCACACGTGCTCCAGGGCACAGTGCTCTGCCAGTGTCTGCAGCCGGGGCCCGTCACCGGTGGCCCTCCTGACCGTGACAGCGAGGCGGCCTCGCAGCCCCCGTGGATCCCAGCCCGTTCGTGCTCCCTGTGGTTCTCCCTGTGCCATTAAACTCACATGGTTCTGAACCTGCAGAACGCCTGGCAAGCTGATTCTCACACCCATGGGTGCTGACTGCCCCTGCCCCCAGGGCCGCTTCTGCGTCCGGTCAGCGCTGTGCTGTTCAGTCGCCTTGTCACCCAGACGGCGTGCGTGGCCTGGCGGCGACACGGTCAGTGGGTCCTGGCGGCTGTTCCAGCACAGTGCGTGCTTGCTTCACTGCAGTCAAGTGTGTCGGTCACACAGCGTGTAGTGCAGTGTGTGGGGAGCAGGCGTGGGAGGTGTGGGGTACGTGTGCGTGCAGGTTATGAGTGCATGGGGGGTGCTCACACGTACGAGGTGCTCTGCGGGGTTCGGCTCGGTCGCGGGGTCCCGCCGCCCCCTCCCCGCTCCCCCCCGGCAGGGCCTTCCTGGAGGGCCGTTCCGGACTCGGGAAGCTTCCTCCGTGAGTACCTAGCTATGCGAGGCTGTGCGTCTTGATCCAATTTTTCTGATTTATATTTTCCATAATTCCGTTGGGTCAGGATTTTCAAATTTATTACACAGTGCGCGCTGTGTTCTCTTGTAACAGAAAGAGCGGTCTGTCTGCCGGCTGCTCTCCCCGAAACGTGCTTTTCCGCTGCTTCCTCCGGAGGGTGGGGCCCCCACCCGCCCCACATTTCTGGGGGACGTTTGTGAAGTCTCCCACTGTGTGCCGGGCCCCTCCCCCCCAGCCCCTCCAACGGCAAAGCACATCTGCCCCAACCAGCCCCAGAGCTGACCGGGGGCTGGGGACCCCGGCCGAGGGTGTGTGGCTTCCAAGAGCAGAGACCGGAGGGACTTCTGGGGTGGGAGCCACTGGCAGAGCCGGTGGGGCTCCTAGGCCCCTCACCCCTGGCAGAGTTGGGCCACGGCCTTTGGTGTCTTGGGCTGACCCCTGAGGAGAGCACCCCGTGTCCCCTGGGCCCTCAGTGCTTCTGCTCCCTCATCGTGCCCCTGTGCCCCCACCCCGAGCCAGTCCACACCGGTGGAGGGGAGTCTGACGGCTTTATTCACAGACCCCAGGGTAGGGAGGCAGCGAGGACAGAGATGTGGGGGTGCTTGGGAAGGAGCCCCCCGCCCCCAGGCCTGGGGGCCAGACGCCACCACGGGGGCTGCGCCAGCGCCCGGTCTCTGCCTTGGAGGGCCTCTGGCTGCTCTACTTCCAGCGTCCGCCGACTTTGCCCTTGGCCGTGGCCCCGGCCTTCTTGCTGCTGCAAGTGGGAAGCAAGTTGGTGTTGAACATCAGGGCGTCCGGGGCCCTGGCCGAGCCTCCTCCCGGCCCGCAGACCCCGCAGACCCCGCAGACCCCACATTCGCAGCTCCGCCCACCCCAGCTATCTCAGGGCAGGGCCCCGGCACACATGCCTGCTTCCATCCAAGCAGCAGCGACTCACCTGTACCCGGCCTGCCGGGCCCGGGCGGCACTGTGCCGAGGTCGTTAGTGTGGTTAGGAGAGGGGCTGGCACAGCGGGCTGGGGACACCCTCCCTTCCTGCCCCCGGGGCCCTACACAGGTCTGACCCACGCCCGCCCAGGAGCAGTCTCTGCAGATGGCTACTGTCTTCCAGTGACTTTGTCCCAGAAAGAACATGCCCCTGGGTCCTTCACCCAGGTCCACGGTTCTGGCCTTACGGACTCAGGACCCGGGAGGCCTCTGTCTGGCTCCAGAGTCTTGGTCACTTGGCCACGAGTTAGAGCTGGACCCTGGGGTCCAGAGGTCACCACCCTTCTGTCTGAAGCCCCAGCATGCCAGGGAAGAGCCGGTGTTTGTCAGGTGAGGTGGTGGAGGCCAGAGTGTGTGAGCCTAGAGGGGCAGCCTTTCCGGGTGGCTGGCTGGAGGGGCCAGTGTGGTGCCCACATCCTGTGTCCTGCAGGGCCCAGCCTGAGAGCCGTTACACGCACGCACACGTGCACACACGCATGCACTTGGACGCGTGCACCGTGACGGATGCCCACTCTCAGGCCTGTGTCAGCCCCCGCCCCACACACAGAGCCAGGGAGGAGGGCCCCATCCCAGGGCGCAGCAAAGAGGCAGAGGGCAGCCTGAAACATGCCAACTGCAAGCTGCCCTCGGAGCACCGTGCTGCCTGAGGGAGCCCGCTCAGGGGCCCGCTCGGGGACAGAGCCCAGAGCGGTGGCGGCCGGGCGGGGTGGGCACCGGCTTCTCTGGGTTTTCCCAGCGGCTGTTACAGTGGGTCCCGTGGACCCCGAGGGCTGTTCTTACAGACAGAGGTTCACTGTCCTGAGAAACCAGGGACACAGAGGGCAGTGATGAGCCCAGGCCTCCTCATGCCCTGCCCTGGTCCCCTGTGGCGTGACAGACACACTACTTGGATGTCCAGGAGCCCAGGCCTGGCACACATGCCCTCAGGCCGGCTGCTGGCCCCCCCAGGGCCATTCTCCTGGGCTCTGCAGGCCCGAGGGGCTGGCCGGTTAGTCCTGTTACTGCTCTGCTGAGGGCCGGCTGCCACCAGGATGGGCCGAAATCACCAGCCCCCGGCGGGGCCGGGGTAGCCGTCCCGGGGGCCTGTGCCCGGCGCAGAGCGAGGCACGGGCAGGCTACTTACTGCTTCTGGGCCTGGTCAATGCGGCTCCTGAGGTTGGTGATCTGCAAACAACACGGACGACTCACTGTGACAAGTCCCAGCAGGGCCTCCACGCAGGCCTCCTCCGCGGCCCCGGCGGGCCTCCGGGCCACACGAGGGCCACGCGCACCCTTGCTGTGCCTGACTCGTCCGGCCCTCGGGCTCTGACTTACTGTTGGTGGTGCACCGGAGACCTGAACTATGACACGCAGCAGCTCCGGAGCCGGCCACTTACCTTCCAGCCCGTGGCAGGATGTGGGCCGAGGGCATGGGGTGGAGGGGAGGCTCACAAACTGAGCCTGGCTCTCTGGTGGCCGCTGAGCTCAGAGCCACCCTCCCCGTCCTTGACCCGGCTGCTCCCTCCTCCTGACTGCCCAGAGAGGAGGCTGGGGGGCAGGGCCCTTCCCCGTCTGCCGGTAGGAAGGCAGTCAGCCTCAGGGCCGACGGTGCAGGCAGAAGGGAGCAGGCGAGGGCAGGAGGGGAGCCTCCGTCACCTCCATGCCCGCTGCCGCCACCATCCTCCTCGACTCAGGGTGTCGCCATGCGCGAGGCTCACTGTGCATCACAAACCACGAGCCTGGGCCTGGGCGGACCCGGCTACTTACAACTTGGCCAGCGTCTCCACTCTGGCCCGGGCAGTCATGATCTGAAAAGACCAAGACGGTTACAGGGCTGGTGGGCGGCTGAGGCCGAGGCCCCGCCGTGCCCTGGCTTTGCCAGGTGGCTCTTCCAGCCCCGGGGCCCACGTGGGCCGTGCCCGGGTGTGTCAGGAAGCAGGGGCTGATCTGGCTCCGCCAGCGAGAGCCTATTCCTGCAGGCCAGCCCACCGGGAGCACGGAGAGGGCCGCACTGCCCCTGGCCCGGACGCTGCTGGCCTGCAGGGCGTGTGCGCTCCTGGAGCGGCCTGGTCCTCCTTCTGCTAGAGGTGAGGAAACTGAGGCACAGGAGGGCTGGGCGGCTTGCTCAAGGGCACAGGGCTCCTGAGAAGGAACCCGGATTTGCCCAGTTGTCGGTTCTGGTTTCCCAACCCCCTCTTGTCAGTGGCTGGTGGCGATGGCAGGTGGACTGTCCTGCCCTGGGCCCTGGCAGAGGGAGGGGTGGGTACCAGGCCTGTGGTGGTTGCATCTGCCCTGGTTGGGAAGGAGCAGGAGAGTCTCACGGACTTGGGGCAGTGTCTGCACAGGGCTGCCGCTCTGACCTCTGAGCCCTTCTCAGGTGACTCCAAGTGACCACCCTCCGGAGGGGCACAGTCCAGCCTCCCGTCCCAACTGTGAGAGCGTATGGCACCCTGCCTACTCTGAGCTGAGGGACGTGGGTGGGGTCCCAGGGGCTCTGAGGAAGCAGATGTCTCAGGGTCGGCGTAAGTTTGCAGCGGAGGCTTTACAGAGAAGACACCCAGAGCCAGGGGAACTGAGTGCCACCCTGGGTGGGCTCGTGACACTGGGCACTTTTTAGGAACGCCCGGTGATGCAGAAACTGGAGCCGAGACTCTGCCTGCTGCTCCCTGCGTTGCCCTCAGAGCAGCTGAGAGCTCAGGGTGCCAAGGCCGGCCTGGCGGAGCAGGTCTGTGCGTGGGGCCAGGCCGTGGGCCTGGGGACACGGCAGGCGGGTGAGACCCGGGGCCCGAGGGCCAAGGTGCCTGTTACTCACGTCGTATTTCTGGCGCTTCAGCTTCTCCGAAAACTCAAACTTGTCAGTCTCCAGTTGGTACAGGGTGTCCCACAGCTCCTTGGCCTTGTCCCTGGGAAGTGACAGAGGTCAGGCTTGGCCAGACAAGCCCTGGGAGGCAGGGCTCTGGCCATGCACTGTCCTCCTCCGGCCAGAACCGAGAGCCGGCCCGGCAGCCTCCGGAGACCTGAGGGTGGTGGGTCCAGAGAAGGCGCCACCTGTCACCACCCCTCCAGCGTGGGGCGCCCCCACACCTCAGCTTGTCCTCGCTGAGATGGTCAATGTTGAGTGGCTTGCGTCTCTCTGCCAGGACCTTCTTCTTCATCTCCCGGGCTGTCTGCTTCTTGCCTCTCTTCTGGTCAGCCTGCGGGGACACAGCCAAGGGGCCCGGCCTCAGGGAGGGACGCCGCGCAGCCCAGCACGAAGCGAGGAGGCCGGGCTGCGGGCGGAGGCCAGCCCTGGGCTCCGGGCGCCGTGCTCACCTTGGCCAGGTAGCTGCTGTAGTTGGCGCCCATGGAGGACAGGGCCTTTTTCTTCTTCAGGTCGTCCTCAGCCCTCCTCTTGGCGTCCTCCTCCTCCCTGCGGGCTTTCTCCTCCTGTGGAGACCCGTCCCCGACGCTCAGGGCCAGGCCAGGGCTGCCCTTCTGGACAGGTTCCGGGGCCCGCCCCAGGCTTGGCTGGCGCTTTCTAGAAGCTCCAGGTTCTGGTCAGGGTCTGCCCCCCGCAGGGCTCCGCAGGGCTCTGGTCATTGCCTATGTCGGGGAACCTCTGGAGCAGCAAGGGCAGGGGCCCTGGCGTTCCCGTGGGCCTGTGGTCAGGGGCCAGGGGCCGGGCGGCCAGGGGCGCGGGCCTCACCGCCAGCCGGTTCTGACGCTCCCTCTCCTTCTCCGCGCGGATCCTCTGCTGCTCGGCTCTCTCGGCGCGGCGCTTCTCCTGCGGCGGGAAGAGTGGGTGAGCCCAGCCCAGCCCACCCCAGCCCCCCAGAAAGTGGCCACCGGCCCCGCCCACCCCCAGCTGCCCACGCACGATTCTCTCCTTGAGCGCGATCAGCTCTTCCTCCTCCTTCTTGCGCGCTTCAAAGTGGCTGTCGATGAGAGCCTGCAGCTCCATGAGGTCTTTGTTCTGCCGCTTCTTCTGGATGTCCTGTGGGGGAGGGGCCGTCAGTCCCGTGCCTCGGACCTCTGTCCTGCCTGGCCCACCTGTGCCCTGGCACAGCAGCCCCGGCTCCTCTGGCCGCCGTGAAAGCGGAGAGCAGAAAGGAACCCCTGAGCCGCAGGGTAGGAATGGGGCCCCCACCCTGTGGGTCCAGGCCCTGCACAGCCATGAGTCATCAGGACCCCTGGGGTGGACTAGCTCTGACTAGGCCCTGTCACCATCCTGAAGTGTCCTGCATGGGTCAGGCAGAGGGGAAACTGGTGAGTAAGATAATTGGTTGAGGGACATATGGATGGATGGATGGGTGGATGGATGGAAGGATGGATGGATGGATGGATGGATGGACGGACGGACGGATGGATGGATGGATGGATGAACAGATGGATGGATGGATGGATGGGTGGATGGAAGGATGGATGGATGGATGGATGGATGGATGGATGGATGGACGGATGGATGGATGGATGGATGGATGAACAGATGGATGGATGGATGGGTGGATGGATGGATGGATGGATGGATGGATGGATGGATGGACAGATGGATGGATGGATGGGTGGATGGAAGGATGGATGGATGGATGGATGGATGGATGGATGAACAGATGGATGGATGGATGGGTGGATGGAAGGATGGATGGATGGATGGATGGATGAACAGATGGATGGATGGATGGGTGGATGGAAGGATGGATGGATGGATGGATGGATGGACGGATGGATGGATGAACAGATGGATGGATGGATGGGTGGATGAACGAACGGATGGATGGATGGATGGATGGATGGATGATGAATGGATTATGGATGGATGATGGTAGATGGATAGATGGATGGGTGGGTGGATGGATGGATGGATGGATGGACAGGTGGATGGATGGATGGGTGGATGAACGGATGGATGGATGGATGGATGGATGGATGGATGGATGGATGGTGGGTGGGTGGATGGGTGGATGGATGGATGGATGGATGGGTGGATGGGTGGATGGATGGATGGGTAAATGGATGGATGGATGAATGGTGGATGGTGGATGGATGGATGGATGGATGGGTGGTGGATTGTGGGTGGATGAATGGAGGACAGGACAGAGAAGTGGATGATGAATGAGTGGAGACATGGATGGATGGGTGAGTGCAGGGATTGGTGACTAGGTGAGTGGATAAGGATGGGCAGAAGGGTGATGGAGTGAAGGGAAGAGAGATGTCCTTATGGGAGGAGTTCCCCCTGGTCCAGGGATGGACGGAGCAGAGTGGCCTGGGACCAGGAAGCCCTAGCTCTGGATGCTTGAGCGATGACCTTCTGAGGCCCGGAGCCCAGGATTGGGGATGGGGGCCTGTTGACCCAGGTTCCATGAACTTACATCGAAGTCTACTTTCTCCCCTTCCGGGATCTTGGGAGCAGTGAGTCTGAGGAATAGAGAGAGGCCCATGAGCAGAGGCAAGTGGGAACCCGCAGAGTTGGTCTTACCCACCTGGCCTGGCCCCTGGCTGGCCCTCCACCCTCTAGCCCTGGCGCCTGGCTGAGGTCCATGGCCTGACCTCTGTCCTGATCAGATCTATAACCCATTGTCCCCACAGTGGCTTGACCCCCTCGAGAAGGTTTCAACCTCTGAGTGTCCCTCCGTTTCGCTAACTGCTGGACACCTCAAGGGCTTTTGTGCCCTTGTCTGTCCAGAAAGGGCAGCCTCGGTTTCTTTCTCAAACAAATAAACAGATGCCACAGGGTCAGACCAGAGGCAGGGTGGTCGCCAGAGGCCCTCCGGGGTCACGGGCCTCTGTGGTCAGGGATGGCCGTCTCAACCCTTTGCGTTTCTGTGCCCCCCGCTTTAACGATTCTTTCTGGGGACCCAGAGGAAGGGGGCCAGGCAGAGAGCAGTTTGGAGAAGAAACGCGCACCCCCCTCACTCGGGCGGCTGTAAGTGGCCACCAGCCCTCTGCCTCCCCCTCCCCCTCCCCCAATGCATTCCAGATGGCGTAAAGAGTTAAAACGACAACAACAATTCTTTAAAACAAGCTGTAGAAGAAAAGTGGAACTGAATATCCATCAAACTGCTGGACCGGGAAAGGGTTTTCTGAGCTCAGAAGGTCCCGCTGAGGGAAAGATAGCCAGATGACTCCATGCAAATGAAAAACTTATGTATGTGAAGAAAAAAAAGGCAAAAATTGAAAAAGGGCGAGGGGGGGGGGAGAAACCCCAACCCAGACTAGAAAAATATTTTCAGCAAACACAGAGAAGACTTATATCTTTATGCAAACGGGTGATTAAGAAAACAGAGCTGCCTGCATCAGATAAATGGGCAGAGGCCCTCCGCCACCGGTTCTCGGTCCTCGGAGAAGAAAGAGGGCCAGTTTAACAAACAGGGGAAGGTTTGCCTGCAGTAATCACAGGAATGCAAGGAAAACATCCCTGAGAGGCCCCTCCTCATCCATCAGCGCTCCTCGGGCACAGCGGCGGGGGCGCCGCCCGCGCCCGTCCACGTAGGAGACCGCCCTGGCAGACCCCTCGCGGAAAGCTATTTGGCAGGGATGTCAAAGTCGTAGGAGCACTCATACTCTCTGACCCATTAATTCCAGTTCTGGGAATGTGGCCTAGGGAAATAACCCGAAAGACAGAAAATGCTCTCCACCCAGCGTTATTTATGATAGTAAAATATTGGGGAAACGCCGGCACGGCCTGCGTTGGAGGCATGGTTAGGAAAATTATGGTTTGTCCGATTGATGGAATATTATGTGGCCATTCAAAATATTTAAGAAGACGATGTAAAAACATGGAAAAATACTTATGAATGGTGCTACATTTTTAAAAAGCAGAATTCAAGGCTGTATAGACAGTCCCGGGTTTGAAAAACAACTCGGGGTTTAAATCTTTTTTTTTTTTTTCCGAGCCTGATGCGTGGAAAGAGTAGGAAGGAATAACCCTTTCATTTTTCTCCGCTTCCCCGCAGTCTGGCTGGCGGGGTGGGAGTTATAGATGATTTCTCTCCTTCTCCCTCCCTCCCTCTCTCTCTCTTTCTCCCCCCCCTCTCTCTCTTTAGTGGACTTTTATGTATTTTCCAAATTTTCTTTAATGAGGTGTTTTATTTTCATAATGAAAACACAAACATTTTTTTAAAACGAGAAAATATCTTGTGATCCGGCAGCTCCACTTAAAACTGCTGAGAAAGAAAGTGGCGAGGATGGGAACGTGCTGGTGGGCGCTGCGTGGCCGCCCCGGCGGAGCCTGCTCGGCCGGCCCGGGCTTATCGCACACCCCGGAGTCAGAACAGCCGGATTAGAAACACCTCCGCTATCTCCCCGATGTGATAACAGAGGCAGGAGGATTCCAACTCTCGAGGGGCTCAGGGGCCCCAGGGGTCGAAAGGCTGTGGAGCCGGATCTGCTCTCCCCACTTTGGCGTCTCTTCCCTATCTCAGGTCCTGGGAGACCCCACAACACGGGGGGGGGGGGTGTAAGGGGTTGCAGAGAGGGCAAGTCCCTGCCCCCTTCCTTCCTTGGCCCTAGCCTCCTCCTGCAGGAAGCCCTCCTTGCTGACACTGGATGACCCGGGTCAGAGCCACACCCAGCTGGACGCCAGAGCCCCTCTGTGTTGTCCCGGGGACAGAGCGCCCACGTGGAGTCTGGTCCCTGCCTGTGGGGGAGGCACTGGCTGCCTCAAAGCACCCCATTGTCACAGGGTCTTCATCTGCTGTCTAGACTGTTACCTTCCAGGTCGGGGAGCAGTGAGTGGCTCACTTCCTCTCAGGGCTTGGGTGCCAACTCATCCCCCACAGAGCCCGGTGCAGTGTCTTCCGGGGCCCCAGCCCTGGGGATGGCAGTTTTCCGGGTGACCCCGGTTCCCATCCAGCCTGCACGTGGGCTTTCCCTCCACACTTCAGGCGTCCCTCCCCAGCCCTCCCCAGCCCACCCCAGCGTCCAGCCCTGTGGGCCCCACACTCACTTGGGTCTCGGCTTCTCCTCTGCTCACCACAGTGCCAGCCAGCATGGGGAGGGGGAGAGAAGACCACGTGAGAGGGGCCCACTCCTGCCCGTGCGCCCCGGGGTCCACCCAGCTGGGGGCTTTCTGGGCTGCAGCCTGCAGGGCTGCCTGCTGTCCCGCTGAGCCCACCACCCACTGAGCCGACCCACCAGGGCAAGAGGACCTTGTCCCCACTCTGGGCCCCCCGAAGTCCCCGTGGGACCCAAGGAGGAGCGTTCAGGGTGGGGGCCCAGGACACGAGGAGGGAGAAGCAGAAGAGAGAAGTACTCAGGGCGACAGGGAAGACCCGAGAGGCAGGAGAGAATGAAGGAGCCGGATGAGGAAGGAGGCCGTCTGCCCGGAGGGGCAATGACCGGAGGGGGGTACCCCTTGCCCAGGCTCCCGGTGTGCTGGCCTGTCCCCACGACCACCCCACTGTGTGCCTGCTGGAAGCTTGGAGGGGACAGGGCCTGCGAGGCCCCAGAGCCGAGCCTGTGACAGTGGCCATGCCTAGCAGCCTGGCCGGTCCCTCGGAGGGAGAGGGGGGAGGGGGGAGCAGCAGGCGGCGGCGAGCGCGTCCTCTCCCTGCGTGGGCGCGTGGCGGGACCCTGGCCCTCACCTTCCTCGTCCTCCCGCTCCTCCTCTGCGGTGTCTTCCGGGCACAAGCGCGCATGCAAGAGAAAGCCAGCCAGCGGGGCTGCGAGGTGCGGGGGGCAGCAGCTGGACCCATTAGTGCCTTCCGTGGAGGGGGCAGAGGGGTGCTGTCTGGGAGGGGTGCAGGAGCGGGGGGTGGCCATGCGCGGGGCCAGGGTGGCCTGAGAGACCCCCCGCCCGGAGGCCTGCTGGTGCGAGCAGGGCCCTCGGTGGCCGGTGGGTGCCGGCCTCTGGCACCCTTGCATGTGTCCTCTGTGGCTGCAGGGCCCACCTTGGAAATGCAAGAGCCTCCCCGACACTGTAGGCTCGGTGCTGGGGTGGGTGCTTCCGGGGGCCTGGTTCTGGGGGTGTCGGGTTGGAACCCTTCAGGTCTAATGCGTTCAGATTGCCTGCTGGCGCCTCAGACCTGTGGGAGCCTGTGGGTTCTAGCCCCCGTGGGCCATGGAGCCTGGGCCTGCTCATCCCTAGGGGTGGGGGCTGCTGCCTCCCCAGGAGCCCGGCCCTGACCGCAGAGGGCCCCTTTCCCCGTGCCTGCCTTGGCTGCTCTGGGCCCTGCCTGCTGCTGGTGGCCGGTCGGCGAGGCTGGAACCTGCAGATGCGAGCGGCGGGGCTGGCCTGGCGACCCTCACAGAGGGGCTGCTCCTCTGACCAGCCCCACCCCACCCCAGGGAGGCCCAGGGAGGTCCTGGCTGGCCCAGCCATGGCAGGGGTCCTGCTGCAGGCCCTGGGTGGGTGCTGACAGGGCAGAGGTGCCCAGCCGAGACGTCCTCTCTGACCACCAGGGCTCCTTCCTCTGCACTGGGCATGGCCAGGAGGCCACTCTGGGAGGGGTGGGGAGTCCGGCCTCGCCAGCCTCTCCCCTCGAGGTCCCCCCAGCTTGTGGGCCACTCGGGTCGCTTAGGAACCAGCAAACAGCCCTCTGCACAGGGACCTGGTGTCACCCTCAAACAGCACCCTGGGCTGCGAAGCCGAGCCCGCGGGGGTGGGGGCTTGGTGAGGAATGGCGGAGCTGCCAGGCGCCTGGCTCTCAGTGGGGGCCTGGCTGGGCCCGGGGCTCTGGGGGCAGGGCCAGGCCAAGAGCTGGAGGGACAGTGGCAAAGCTCCCCAGGCAGTGGGCAGCCGTGGCCTGGCATCCCCACCTCCTGTCTATCTGTCTGTCTGCCTCGGGGCTGGTTCAGGTGGCCTGGTGACCCGGCAGCTCCTACAGAGCTTGTTCCCTGACACCTCTGCCCACTCTGGGTCACTGCCACCACCCGACGTCCCTTTGACTCACAGGTGGGCTCTCTGAGTCCAGGGAAGGGAAGACCGTGTCGGGGTCATGCTTGGGGTTCAGGCCCAGTTGGGAGGCCCCTGCAGCCCTCCTGAGAAGTCACGTGAATGGAGAGGGCTGAGAAGAAGGCACCTTGGGTCCCTGACTTGAACCTCGCCCCACTGGGGGCTCCTCAGGCCCGGGTGCGTCTGGCTGTGACCCAGGTGGTGGGTGGGTCGCTGGGACCTCTCGCTCGCTTGCTCATTGGCACGCGAGGGCCCTGGGAGTCTAGTGCCGCCCCCACCTTGGGCCTCACTCGCCCCCCCACCCTCCCTCCTCACTCCCCCTCTCCAGTTTGCTATCGGCAGGGTGTGGGCCGCTGCCCAGCCTCTCCTCCTCCACTCTGCTCCACCCCACCCTGGTGGACCCGGAGGGTCTAAGTGGGCCCCAGCACCATCCTCCCAAGGCCTGCACCCCTCTCGGGCTTGGCCTGGAGACTGGCCACCCCCAACTGCCTGCTGGTGGACTAGGACGGGCCTCACCCCCATCCCTGAATGTTCTCTGCCGGGGGGCCAGGAGGAAGCCTGCACCCCGTCGGCCAGCCCTGCCCAAGCCAGCACACCAGGCCGAACCTGTCCCCACTCTGCCCCAGCCCAAGGGACGGGTAGGAGTCATGCAGGCAGGCGGGAGGCGGGACGGAGCTGGGATGGGTGGGGCTCTGGCCTCAGGGCGGACGGCATACCTTCCTGGACTTCTTCTGCAGAGACAGCGCATGTGGGGAGACAGAGAGAGGACCGGTCGTGAGACCAAGAGTCGGGGCCGAGACCGGGCTGGGGCAGGGGCAGCAGAGGCAGGGGTCAGAACCACACTGTGAGTAAGTCACACGGCCTCTTGTTCCTTCTGCGCCAGGCGCCTGCTCCACCCACACTCGGCCACGTGTGCGCACGCACCCACACGGGGCTGAAGTCATGGCACATACCTGGTTCATGAGCTTCGGGGGCGGCTAAGGAGGGCACGGAACAAGAGGCATGACCGCGGGTCAGAGGTCAAAGGAGAAAGGATCCGAGGTTAATGGACACAGCCGGTCACCACGCGGGAGGGTCAGTGGCCGAGGCCGAGGGGGCAGCATGCGGGAGACGAGCGGGAGACGGTCAGTGTTGGCCCTGGATGCTGTCACAACCCAATCCTGTTCCTGCCTCGAACATGGGGAAACTGAGGCTCAAGGGTGGCGTTTTGACCCCTGACTCTAGCTTTTGTCATGACATCACTGCTCTGGTCATGGGGACATTGAGCCTCCCGCCTGTTCTTAAGCCTCTGCAAGGACTTCCAGGCCAGGGCACAGACACCCATGCTCAGGACTGCGCTGTGGGTGGCACCAGGGGCCAGAAAGGACAGGAACCCCTGGGGCAGGACGGAGGGGTGGCCAGGGAGAGACCGCGAGGGGCCTGGGGGCACAGGCCGGGGCACAGCCCTCACGTGGAGGCGGGCTGCAGGGCCAGTGCCCGCTCTGCCCTCTGCTCGGCCGAGATCCGGCCCGGGGCCCTGGCCCCCATGAGGGCTCCGAGGTTTGGCCGGCCCTCAGTTACCGGCCCTGGGACAGAGGCCCTTTGCAGGGATGAAGAGCCAGGCCCGTCTCTCATCTGAGCCCACAGTCCCCCAGCGACCCACCATGGCCCGGGTTGGAAAGTGCCTGGCCCTTGGAGTAACCCCAATTTGGTCAAGCATTGGCCATAGTTAGTGGGTTATGTTGGGGCCACATGTGGGGGCCCCTTGGCTGGCTGGTGCCTCACTGTGTCTGCCCCCCACCCCCGGCTCCAGCCAGGCCCCGGGCCCCACATGGGGACCAGAAGTCCTGTGTGTTCATACCTTCCTCATGGACTTCTGCACCAGGACGGACAGGCAGCCGTGCGGGGCAGGAGGAGAGAGGAGAGGTTAGCCGGGAGCACACTGCATGTCCTTAGGGGCGGGGGCACTGTGAGGGCCACGGCCAGGGGGCAGAGGGGCCGGGGTGTGGGTGTGGGCCGGGCCCCGGACCCTGCTCGCTTACCTTCCTCCTGAGCCTCCTGGGCCTCCTCTGAGCCGGGAGCGGCAGGGAGCGTGAGGGAGAGAGGCAAGGAAGGTATTAGTGGGGCGAGCTGGGTGGTGTGGAAAGCAGCCGGGCGTGAGCAGGGGGCTCAGCTGCTGGGGCTGCGACTCCGAGGCCTGGGTCGGAGGGACCCCAGGTCCCTGGCCCCTCCTGGGACCTGCCTGGCCCCAGCACTGAGGTGTCTGTGCACTGAGGGTCGGGCTCAGTCTTGCTCTGCGGGTCTCGGAAATGAGAACAGGGGACGAAATCCGTGTGTTACGTGAACGCGGACCCCAGGAGAGAGTCGGCCGGGGCCGGGTGGCCTCGGCGTGCCCGAAGGGGACTGTGACCCTGGTGTGTCTTGGAGGAAAGCACCCCGGGACCCTGCCCCCCGCGCCCCGGCCACGTCGCCTTCCCTGGGAAAGGAGTGGGCCCCCTGGGCCGCATTCCCCTCTCAGAAAGTCTTCCCACATTTTCAGCAGAAAAAGAAATGTTTTGCTCACGTTGTTAGGGGAGCCGAGTGTTTTCAAAATATTTTCAAAACATAGCACCCAGAAGGCCTCACAGGACAGCCCTGCCCGAGAGGGTGGGTGCGCGCGTTCCCAAGGCTGAGCGGGTGCCAGGGGTTGCGGAGGACCTCCCCTCCAAGCCTGAGAACCTCCTCTCCCCACAGTTCCCAGGTGCGCCGGGGAGGTTCCCACGACGCCGGCGGCCCTGGGGGGGCTTCGGATTCCACCGAAGGTTACGCACGCTCGGGTGGGGGCGGGGCGCCAGGGAGGGCCAGACCGAGCGCGCGAGACCCCGGCGGGCCCCACACCAGGCCCTCCTCGGTGACCAGGGCGAAAGTGTTAATGGCCACGGCCCAGCTAACTGCACACGATGAGGATGAGGGGTTAATGAATGATTAATGAGTGCCCGTCTATTAATCAGTTAAAGAGATGGGAAGTTAGCCGTGACGGCAAATGGGAATTAATGGTGAGGAGGGTGGATGTTAATTGTCGAGCTCCAAGAGGCCCCGAGGGTCCTCGGCCGAGCGGATGGAGCTGGACAGAAAGGAGGGGTTCGGAGGGAGGCCCGCCTGGGGGTGTCCAGGGGCTTCACTCACCTTCCTCCTCGTACTGCTCTGCAGTGGAAAGAAAGGAAGGAGCCTGTTAGCGGGGCGCCCCCGGGGCCGCCCGGGAGGGAGCGAGACCAGGGTCCTCGGGCCGGCCCAAAGGAGGCCAGAAGAGGAGGAGGCCCTGAGGGGGACCGTGGCTTTCCGGGAGGGTCTGGAGCCCCAGGCACCTCTGTCCTACTGGGAGCATGACAGAGTGGCCGGGGCCTCCAGAGCCCCCGGGCCAGGCTGCCCCCCACAACCTTGCAGTGCAGGTGGGGCGGTGTGCAGGACAGCGTCCCAAGGTGACCGGATCTCAGGGACGTCACCCTGGAGGAAGAGGAGGCCTCGGGTGCAGGGGCAGGTGTGAGGGACCCATGTGCAGAGAAGGGTGACCTAGGGTACACTGAGCAGGGCAAATGAGGCCTCTCCGCCAGGGTCCCCCAGGAGAGATGCGCCGTCTGATGAGTGCTTCCTGGGGACGCGCAGAGGGAGGAGGCCGCGGCAGCACTTACCCTCTACCTGCTCCCTGTGGGGAGAGAGGGGGAGGGTGAGCGCTTCGCTCAGCTCACGGGGTCTCGCACCCAGGACCCCGGCCCGCAGGGGGCTGCTCGGATGGCTACTCACACTTCCTCGTCCGACATGGTGGCGGGCTTTCTGCAAGGGGAGACGAAGACCGAGTTAGGCGGCGCCTTGGTCCAGCAGTGTGGACCATGGGCTGGGGATGGGTATGTGAGGGGACATCTGTGACAGGCCCACTCGAGCACTCAGGGCCTCCTCAGGAGGCCCCCTTGCGTCCTCCGAGCCCCAGACTTAGACTCCCCACCGCCTCTCCTGCTCTGGCTTGAGCCCGAAGCCTGGAATCCCAGAAGTGGACGGACGTCAGCAGGCCTGAGTCCCCGCACCCGGGCAGACGTGCTGTCCGCGGCATTCCTGGGGAGGGGCGTGCTTGTCCAGGCCAGGGCCCATCCAGGCTGCCCCCGCACTGCAGGAGCCCTGCTCCGGGCAACCCCAATCTGCTCCTGATCGTCCTGCCTTGGGCTGAGGTGGGGACCCCCGGTCTTCCCGCCCCACCGTCCCCACAAGAGCCCATGTTCCTAGTGTGAGCTCCAGGTTCCTGGATGGACCCACATTCTCTTCCGCGTGCCCTGGGGTCCCCTGCATGTCCCCACAGCCCTCTGCAGACCTGTCTTCCCAAATCACAAGAATGCACGAGCTGACCCTTTGTCTCCCCCTTATCCTACCAGGCAACAGCCTGAGCCCCCAGCTCATGGGGACAGATGGGGGCCATATTCCTGTGTCCCCCCACCAATGCTCTGCAGAATGGAGGAAATGGCCCCTCTTCCCCGCCCACGTCCCAGGCCCTGCGCCTCCTCTCGAATGTGTCAGTGTCTTCGGGGACACGTGTGCCCGGGCTGCACATGTCCAGGTGTGGCCGGCGCCAGGCCAGCGTGCTCGAGGACCCGGTCACCGCGCACGCCGGAGTCGGCCAGGGCCTGCCTGGGATGGCTGGCCGGGGGTTGAACAGCCCAGTGCACGACAGCACATTACGGCTCACTCGAAGACAATAGTTAGGACACCCCCCGGGGGGCTTTGTATAAGAAAAACACAAGTTCATCATCGAAACATGCATTCGCGTAGCACCAGGAAGGTGGGGGCGGTGTGCAAGCCTCGGTCAGGAATGCGGCTTCCCGAGCGCGGGCTCCACGCATCATTAACCGCAGGCCCTGAGAACCTCCCGGCGGCAGGGGCCCTCCCATCCCTGTCTCTTCCCAGACGCCACTGCGCCTCAAGGCACAGCCCCGCCTTGTCGGCCGCGGGGTCTCGCTGCCTCGGGCCTCCCGGCCGGCCACCAGCCTCGCCCCGCGGTGCCCACTCCGCCCTGGCGCTGCCGAGCACCTGTCAGCCTCCTTCAGAGGGGTGGCCCAGGCTCGGGTTATTTTTAAGGAGCCAGTGGCAGCTGAGACAACTCGAAATAGACACCGAAATGGGCCAAGACTCCTCTGCCCAGAAACCCAAGGCGGTGGGAGGGGCAGGGCCCGCTCAGGTCTTGGCTAGGCCGGCCCGGCTCCGTGTCCACCCCCAGGCTCCCAGCATGGCTGAGTGCCTCTGTCCTTCTGGGTGGGAGCCGAGGGGGCTCTTGAACCCCAGGCAGGGTGCCCCAGGGGGTCCCTTGCGATGTGAGGCAGCAAAGGCCCCCCCTCCAAATGGGGAGACGGGCCCATCGGGCTCCTCCGCCCAGGGAAGCAGTAGTGACGGGGTGCTCTGCCCATCGGGAAGGCCGAGGGTGGGGTGCTCGGGGCAGGGGGTGGTGTTTCCACAGCTGAGGAGGAAGCCAGCTGTCCACCCCGTGTCCTGCCCTCGGAGGGTGAGGGTGGAAATAGCCTCTGAGGTCAGCGTTCCTTGGGAGACACACATCTTCCTTCCCAGGTGACAAGACGTGGGGGTGGGGGTGAGGACGCAGGAGGCCCTGCCACTCACTGGCTGGGGGCCCCTGCCCCGTCCCCCCGCTCAGGCCCTGTCCCATCTGATGGTGGCTCCCTGCCCATCCCCTCCCAGGACGGCCGAGGGCACCCAAGAAGGAGCCAGCAGTGGGGTGCCTGCACTGACCGACGTCAGGCGGGGCGGCTGAGCCCTGACCCGACGGGGCACTAGGACCGGGGGAGGTGAGGGCACGGGCATGGGCAGCGCCTCTCGTGGGCAGTGCTGCCCGCACGCCAGAGGTGGGACAGAGGTGTGGTGCCCCCGCCCGGTCCTGTCCATGCTCCCTGACTGCTTGAATCCCCGCCACCCTGCCCAGGGACCTGCTCCTGGGTGAATTGGACAAGCCCCGCCTTGGCCGTCGTCTGCACAGATGGCGGCGTTGGGGGCCGTGGTCATTTGAGGCCCAGAGCCCCAGGCTCCTGGGCGGAGGTGGCTGCGGCGCCCAGAGCTTGGCGGAGCCCCTTGGAAAGGCCAAGATGTGCCCGGGGTGAGCCCCTGGGTCTCCGAACCCTCGGCTCTCCCAGCTCCAGCCTCAGACCTTCTCACCCACGGGCCTTCCAGGAGGCCCCGCCTTCCGTGAGGCTCTGCGGCCCCGTGTTCTGGGTCGGAACGGCCCCTTCTGTGTTCAGCCCACAGTGCTAGTCCCTAGCCCCTTGGGGTCCTGGGGTGACTTCCTGGGTTCTCCCAGCTGCCATGCTTAGAACTGAGACGCGTGGGGTGCGGCCTCCTGGAACCCGAGCCCCGGGGCCCCGCCCAGCCCCCGGCCGCTGCTTGGGCCATACCCACCTGCAGCTGAGTCCAGAGACAGGCTGGAGCTCCCTGTGGACAGGACCGGCACGGGCACTGCCCGTCCAGCCTCGCACCCTTATGTTATAGTGACACTCGATCTTTGCCAGCAGCCCATTGGCCAAGGGCTGGGTGGCCGGCCGTGCCCACGCGGGTCCCTTACCAAGTATAGGAATAGCCGAGGAGGAGGCCCAAGGAGGTGAGGATGGGCGACAGTCTGCAGAGGGGACAAGGTCCGCCCTCCACCCCCGGGGGTGTCAGTTTCTATTTTTACTCCCCGACAGCGGGCACATTCTTGACGGCTGAGGAGGATGAGGGAAGGTATTGGGTGGCCCCAGGGACACAGCGAAGGTTCTCCTTGAGCTGGCCTGGTACGGGGGTCCCCAGAACTGGGGCCTCAAATTCCCCAGCCCAGGTGCCCCTCCATTTGAGGTGACTGGCGTGCATGCACTTGGCCCAGGAAAGGGGTCTGCACGGCCAGGTGGCATTACACGTTGCCCCCGGCCCACCTGCCTCCCCCATCGCAGGAAGCGGCCGGGCTCGGGGGCCCATGGAGTGGAGACCGAACCCTCGGCCAGGCCCCATCGCGTCCAGGCCACACCAAGGCCGCCCTGGTCCTGTGGGTGGCCACCACTGGGGCACACGGATTGCACAGCAAGAGAGATGAGCAGCTGCTGGGACCACCCCTCCACCGCTGGCCCGGAGCTCCCCATGTGGGGGTCCGGAGCCTGCAGGCCTCTCTCCCCACGGGCTGGGCTCAGTGTGCTCGCGCGGTGGGCTTGGCCTTGTGCCCATGACCCCGGCCTTTCTTCCCAAGACTCCAAGTGGCACCATCCAACCACAGGCGTCTCACTCGGGTCTCCAGGGGTCCCCATGCTGACCAGCGAGGCCACAAGCTCTCATGGCCCTGCTCCCGAATTAGGGAAACCGAGGCACTGAGCCAGCCTGGTACCTCCCTCCAGGCCCCCTGGGGGGGTTGACGAAACATGGATGGCGGAGTGACCTGATTTAGGACGACGGCTGGTGGCACCCCGGCCAGGGCTGTGTCCTGGAGACACCGATGAGGTCTCTGCCCTCTGATGCCCAGCCCACCCTGCTCTGTGCCCGCTCTGGGTCCAGAGGGAGCTCTCCCTGCACCTCGCCGGTCCCCACGAGGTAGAGATAAGGCCAGGGACCCTAGACAGGCAGGGACCTGCTCATGGTCACATAGCAAGGGGAGGCAGATGGGGCCCCTCTCGCCTGAGCGCCACGGTGGGGCGCCTCCGAGACCGGAGTGGCTGGGGACGCGCTGCCCTCCTGCTCAGAGTGCTGGATTCCTCCAGCCTGAGCCCTTCTCCTCCTCCTGTCCAGGTCCTTGGATGGGCAGGGATTGGTGGGCCACACGAAGCCTGTCCCTTGGCCACTTCAGACCCCCTTTCTAGAAGCCCAGTGGGCTCACCCGAGGGCCCTGCGTCTCCCCAGATGTGGGGGTGCCGCCCCCTCGGGCTGGCTCCTGCCATCTGCTAACACACATGGTGACAGCGTCTGTGGAGGCCGTGCCCCCGGGAGCCACGCGGGCCGGGGTGCCCCTGGGCTGCACCTGCAGTGGCCCGGCTCGGCCAGCAGAGGAGGGTGGCTACCCACTCTGCGGCTTGGCCCTGGCAGGTGTTCTCCCGTGAGCGGGCGAGCCAGAGTGGCGCTGAGGTCAGCGGGACAAGGCAGGCTTTATTTTGGGTATCAGTGCGCTCCCTCTCAGGCGCCAGGCCCGAGGGACAGCAGGACCACGGCCGCGGGCATTGCCGGACGGGCGGCCGGCCGCTGCGGGCCACTGCAGGTAATCCACACCAGTCCACTGGGTGGCCAGGCTGCGGTGGGAGGAGGGGGCCGGGCAGGGCTCGGCTGGGGCTGGAGGGGCCCTGGAGGCGGGGGTCGGTGGGGGCCTGGTCTCTACTCCAGGAAGAGTTCGAGAACTGGCTGCAGGGCCTCGGCCCGGGACGGTGCGGGGTGGGCTTCAGAAGTTGGCGAGGCTGCGTGGAGTCAGGGAGGGGCGGCCCCTGGGTGTCTCAGTTCCGGCTGTCCTTGAGATGACCCCTAGGATGTGGGGAGGGCAGGGGTCCCCCGATCTTGACCTGGCTTCCAGTGTGTGCGGTTGGGTTGGTGGGGACCAAGGGAGCCTGAACATCGCCTGAGGGCCCTGAACTGACCTGGGTGTCCGCCTGGTGCCAGCCTGGGCTGCTGTCTGCTAGGCCCAGGTACAAGCTGCTGGCACGGGGCTCGCCCAGCACCACGCTTCCGCCCCGCACCCGGGGGGTTCTGGCAACCGGAGCTCAGGCCTCCTCTTCCTCCTGGGGTGGGGCTGGGTACCGGAGCCGGGAGCAGGGGTGCTGGGTGAGGCTGCGCAGGTGGGAGAATGGATGGTGGGGGCAGTGCCGGCATCCTCGGCCAGTACCCATTGGGCAGTGGTCCCTCGGAGCCTCTTGGCCTCTGTGGCGGACAGGCGCTGACCCTCAGGGCCCAAGTCACTGCAGCAGTGGGCGTCGGCGGCAGTCAGGGCCTGAGCCAGGGGCTGACCATCCCGGGGGGCTGCGGAGGGTGAGGGCGGCGTGGCAGGTTGCTCCCCCGGCACCACCCCCATCCACCCCTCTCCCGTTGGGTTGTCCACTCTGGTCCCAGCTCACTGCCCAGCTGTGGCCCTTGTGCTGCCCCAGCTGCAGGAAGGAGAGGGCACCGTGTCCCCCGGACACTCCTCACAGGTGGGCCAGAGTGAGAAGCTGCTATGACTTCTAAGCTGTCATGTTGATTCTGTCTTTTGGGTTTGGCAGAATTTGACCATGAAGTCTTCAGAAAATGGAGGCCTCCATTTCCCGCATGTCTTTCCATCCACCCATCCATCCATCCACCCACCCACCCACATGTCTGTCCATCCATCCATCCACCCACCCACCCACCCACCCATCCATCCATCCATCCATCTATCTACCCACCCACCCACATGTCTGTCCATCCAACCATCCATCCATCCATCCATCCATCTATCTACCCACCCACCCACATGTCTGTCCATCCATCCATCCACCCACCCATCCATCCACCCACCCTCATGTCTGTCCACCCATCCATCCACCTACCCACCCATCCATCCACCCACTCACCCATCTCTCCATCCATCCATCCACCCATCTCTCTGTCCATCCATTTATTCATCCATCCATCATCCATCCACCCATCTCTCCATCCATCCATCCATCCATCCATCCTCCATCCTCCATCATTCAGACATCTGTCCATCCACCGAACCAACTCCTGGGATGGAGGATGACCCCAAGGCAGGTTTGCCCTGAAGGGTGCACACACCAGGGGTGCACACTGTTTCAGGGGCTGTGAGGGGTGCATCAGGCCAGTGAAGGGAGGAACATCGCAGACATTCTGGAAGAGGAGAAATGAGCCCCACCCGTTACGTGTGCCTCAGGTCCCGAGTCTAAGCCCACAAGCCATGGGACGGGACAGGGTGTCTGAATCCAGAGGCCAGAGGCCAGAGGCCTGGGCCCCACCACCATGCCGGGGGACAGCCTTTGCAACCCGGCCGCCTGCTCCTTGGTCACCCCCGCCCCGTTAGTGAGCAGTGGAGGGCGGCGCGTGGGGACAGAGAGCTTTATTGCACAAATGAAGGGGCAGCAAGCAGGAGGTGGGAGGGACACAGGCCCGAGCACCCAGCGCAGGCATCGGTAGCTCTTGCTGGCATGTGCCCTGGCGGGCGTGCCCTCTGCACAGGCTGCCCTTCGCTCGTGAGCACTTGGCCTCTGGGGGACGGTCCCCTTGACCAAGCGCCAGTGAGAATCCCTCTCCTGCCCGGGCTGTGAGAGGCAGAGCTGGTGGGCCAGGGAGTAGAGGGGAGAGAGGTCGGAGGTCCAGGGACAGAGGCAGCGGCAGGGGCAGGTGTTGGAGGGTGTGGGCAGCCAGGCAGGCAATGGGAAGCGGCTTCTTCGGCAGGGCTGGGGGTGGGCCTCTGGCTGGACTCCCCTGGGAGCATGGATGGGGGTGTGGAGGTAGCCGCCAGCCTGCACCCGGCCTCAGGACAGCTGAAACACAGGGGGGTGGCGTTAGGCTGCAGTCCCGAGGGTGCCCGGCCCCTCTCAGCCCCTGGCCCTACCCCCACACCCTTCTCACCACCAGGAGCAGAACCCCCACTCTAGCCTCTGAATCCCTCCACCTTGGGAGTCTGCTACCTGAGGCTGAGCTCTGGTGCCCCAGGCCTTGCTTGGGACTCCAGGCCGGAGGAATGCTGCCCGTCACCTGTTTGCTCACTAGCCTGGCAGCCCCCCAGACATGGATCTGGGGTTCCTGTGGTTGCTGGGGTCCCAGCCCCCCAGAGGCAGACAGCCCAGATCGAGCCCCAGAGCAGACCCCGAGGGCCCCTCCCCAGGCCTATCGGTTCCTGCCTGCCAGAGCCGGCGGCCCCCAGCCTCCCTCCTCCCCCACACCAGCGGCCTCTGGCTCGGCCCAGACACCATTTGTCAACGTCCTTGCAAGCACGTGGCGCCCAGAAACCAGGGCGGGCGGGCGGCTTGGCCAGGACCACCCCAGCCAGGAGGTCTGCGGGAAGAGCCTTTTAGCGTAGCTCAGCGAAAATTGCTCCCACCTCCAGGCCAATCGACCTCTGATGATGCAGCCTCGGCGCTGGGAGCCCCTGGCCGCCACCCTCACCGCTGGCTCGCAGCGGACGCGCCTGTGGTCAGGCCGGCGACGGCACGGCGCCCCTCACGCGTTTGCGGGCGGGCGCTCTTCCTGCCCTCGCGGGCTCGTGGCCCAGCACGTGCCCCCGCCTGGAGCTGGCCCGCGGGTCCCCGGCCCCAGCTGCGCTCCAGCCCTCGTTCATCACCCACAGCCACTCAGGCCTCCGTGGGCTCATTTCTAACCCGGGGAACCGTGGCGCCGCCCACACGGAGTTGCTGATGCGACAGACCTGCCTGGAACACACCTGGCAGGTGCCCAGTGCTCAGGAAGCAGGGCACTGAGGGTCGGGCAGCAACTCCTCTGGGCTGTGGGTCCTCCCAAGCAACGGGGGGCAGTGCGCCCCCCGCGAGGGGACCGGGGATGGCGTGGGCTGGCTGACAGCTGACCCTCTCCATCCCAGAGTGCACGATGCTCATCTCGGCTGCCTCAGTGCCCCCGGGAGCAGCTGGCCTGAGCCCGCAGGGGCCCCCCGCACCCCCGCCGCCCCTGTTCCCGAAGCCGGGCAAGGACAACCTGCGTCTTCAGAAACTTCTGAGAAAGGCAGCCCGGAAAAAGGTGGGGGGGGGCGGGCCCCTGGCTCCCCCCGTGGCCTTCCGCTCCTCCCTGTCCCCCGTGAGCGAGGCCAGCCATGACCAAGAAACCACAGTGCCGTGCCCAGCCGAGGCCCCTCGCACGGTAGCCCCCCTGTCCCCCGCCCCCCGCGTCCCAGTCATCCGCCGCGTGACGTCCCCCCTGCAGAGGTCCACGTTCTCCCTCAGCTTCGTCCAGCACAAGAGCCTGACCACTCACGTCACGGCCTCGGAGCCCCCACTCACAGCCCCGGCCCCAGAGCCCCCCTGGTCTCTCAGTGGTTTCTCCCACGTCTCAGCGCCCCCGGCGCAGGGCACCCACATCAGCCAGGTGCACATCCAACTGGAGCCCTCGCCAGGGGCGGGGACCCCTGAGCCTCCCCAGACAGCCCCAGACGGGGGCTCTGGGGGCCAGGACCCAGCCCCAGCCCCTTGCGCCCCTGGAGCCCAGCCCCTGATCCCAGTGGCCCACATCCGCCCGCTGCCTCCGGGTGCCCAGGCCGCCAGGCCCTGGCCGCAGGCGCCCCCTGTGCCTAGGCCACTCCCCGGCTTCCAGGCCTCGGGGCCCAGAGAGGCCAGCACCCGGGTCGTGGTGCCCATAGCCCCTACCTGCCGCTCGCCAGGGCCCCCGCCTGACAGGCCAGCCCCCGCAGCTCCCAACGCTGAGCACCTGGAGGACACCCCCACCGCGGGCCCTGCCACAGAGGCTGAGCAGGTCCCCAGCCTCCGAGGGGCCTTGTCCCCCTCCTTGCCGTCAGACTCCCACCCTTGCCCTGTCCCCAAAGTTTCGCCCAAGCCCCGGCTTAGCGGGTGGACACGCCTCAAGAAGCAGCTGATGCAGGAGGCAGAAGAGGCCCCGTTCCTGAGGCTGGAGCAGAACACCGAGCGAACGGAGCAGGAGATGACAGCCCCCGCCGACCCGGCCCCCCGGCCCCCCGCCGACCCGGCCCCCCGGCCCCCCGCCTCCCGGGGCTCCAAGCTGTGGGATGCAGTCCTATACCGCATGTCGGTGGCCGAGTCCCACAGTCGCCCAGCAGGGCCCAGGGATGGCACCAGCACCCTGGCCGGCCTCGGCCGCCTGCCCTTTTTGTGCCGACCCCGCTTCAACGCCCGGAAGCTGCAGGAGGTGGCCACCCAGCCCCCCACAATTCACTCAGTCCTGGAGCTGAACCCCCAGCCTAAGAACTTCAACCGCACAGCGGCTGGCTGGAGGCTCCGGTGAATGGCCAGCCGGGGCGGCTCCAGGGCCTAGGACTGCGGGGTGGACAGAGGGAGACACAGCCAATGGAGGGTAGCTGGGCCACCGGACCTGGGGAGGGCCAGCTGGGCATGGAGGGAGCCTGGGGGTGGCCGGGCTTCAGGAGGGACAGGTCTGGGACACAGGAGCACGAGGGCCAGAGGGTGGGCAAAGCTGGGGGCAGGCGGCTCAGGGAGGACAGACTGACCGGACACAGTGCCCGCTGGGTGGGAGGGAGGCCCCTGCACGCTCGCCGGCCCACTCCGAGGCGGACAGGCCTGGGCTGCAGCGGTCCTCGGGGAGGCCTCCAGCCACAGGCCCCGAGCTGGACTCAGGAGGGGAGCAGAGTCGGTAGGGACTGGCTGTCCACTCACCCCAGGACATAATGGGGGCTGTGAATGATCCTGGGGCCCCAGCCACTAATAAAAGTGTGTCACTCCATGGCAGTGGGTCACCTTTCTGACTGTACAAGCTGATCGGAAGGGAGGTGGAAACCAGAGAGGTCCCCACTGGGACAGGAGGCAAGACAGGAGGGTCCTGGCCCCTTTCAGACCCTCAGCCCACCACCGAGTGGGACCTGAGCTCCCAGGGCTCTGTCCCGTCACCCCATCAACTTCCTCCAACAGCAGCCCTGCGGTGGCCCGGGCAACTTCATCTGCCCAGGGCCCAGTTGGGACGCTGTGGCCTCTCCCCAGGAGGGAGGTGTGAACTCCCCTCTCGGAGGGTGCGTGAGCAGGGCCGAAGCCATGGAAGGAATGGGGTGGATGTAAGATAGGGGCGGGAGACCAATCTGGGCTCCGGCCAGCTCTGAGGCTGGGCACTCGGCCCTCACAGGCCCCTCTGCAGCCCGCAACGCAGACAAGCAGGCCCTGTGCACACCGCCATGTTTCCAGAACAGCTCATTTCACACACAGCGCAACCTGCTCCTGCTGCAGCCCTGGACTCACCGAGAGGGAAGGGTTAGGGTGCCTAGTCCTCGTCCATCAGCACCTTCTCGTACTTCCCATGTCCCGTGGCCACGAATTTGTACCTCTTTCCAGATGGGGTGCTCTGTTGGGGAAGGAGACCAAGAACAAAGGTGAGCAAGGCAGAAGGGCGATGCTGCCGCCTCCAGGAAGCCCTCTCAGATGCACTGAGAAGGGTCCCTCTTTGCTCTTACGCGCAGGACCCGCTGACCCGCTCTCCCCGCATCCAGTACATTTAGACGCTACCTTAATTGTCGACGACGTCTTGGATCCTCCTTTCTGCTCCCACAGGCTTTTCTTGCTCATGTCTCCAGCTACAATATCCTGGGGGCGGGAGGGACCCGTGACCGTGGCGGACGGCTAACTGGGGGACTCGAAGCCCTGGGCCCTTCTCTCCTGCCTGGCCTTACTGGGGGCCAGGGCCTGCCTACCTGCTTCCTCGTACGAGAGCGCAGGGAGAGGCAGAGAAGGGCACATGGCCTTCCACACTCAGGGCCAGCCTGGTGAGCCCCGCCCCCCAAGACGTCCCGTACTCTCTGCCCACAGTGGAGCTTGGATGGTCGCACACTGGCCTCGCCTACCTTGCAGGAAGGGCCCTTGGCAGCAGACTGAGCCTGCACCTCCCCTGTCTCCCACCGGCTCTTGGTGCTCGCCACGGCCATGCTCGGCAGCTCGATGGAGGGCTGACGAGTTAACTTGGGGGTCCGAACAGCACTCTGCAGAGGAGACAGATCCCAGGACTACGTTAGTGGGGAGCCACCCGAGGCCCGTCTGAAAGGCCATGTGAGACCCTCCAGGGACCAGAGACATCCTCTGTATCCACATTTCCCCAACAGTGTTTTCCCAACGCAGGGCGGGAGCAAGGCACTCTGGGTATACTTGGGAAGCTCTCCTTGTCCTGTAGAGCACAGGGGGTGGGGTGGGACATGAGACAGGTGTGGGCCGTCCTCATGCTGCTCATGGCACGGGGCTGCGAGAGCATGGGATGAATGGAAGGGTATTGGTGTTTGGAAGGGTGTTGACTGGATGGAGGAGTATTGGTTAGATAGAGGGCTGTTGGTTGGATGGTGGGGTGCTGGATGGAGGGCAGTAGGTTGGATGGAGGGCAGTAGGGTGGATGGAGGGCAGTAGGGTGGATGGAGGGCAGTAGGGTGGATGGACGGCAGTAGGGTGGATGGCGGGGTGCTGGATGGAGGGCAGTAGGGTGGATGGAGGGCAGTAGGTTGGATGGAGAGCAGTAGGTTGGATGGAGGGCAGTAGGGTGGATGGAGGGCAGTAGGGTGGATGGAGGGCAGTAGGTTGGATGGAGGGCAGTAGGTTGGATGGCGGGGTGCTGGATGGAGGGCAGTAGGGTGGATGGAGGGCAGTAGGTTGGATGGCGGGGTGCTGGATGGAGGGCAGTAGGTTGGATTGAGGGCAGTAGGTTGGATGGAGGGCAGTAGGTTGGATGGAGGGCAGTAGGGTGGATGGACGGCAGTAGGGTGGATGGAGGGCAGTAGGTTGGATGGAGGGCAGTAGGGTGGATGGAGGGCAGTAGGGTGGATGGAGGGCAGTAGGTTGGATGGCGGGGTGCTGGATGGAGGGCAGTAGGGTGGATGGAGGGCAGTAGGGTGGATGGACGGCAGTAGGGTGGATGGAGGGCAGTAGGTTGGATGGAGGGCAGTAGGGTGGATGGAGGGCAGTAGGTTGGATGGAGGGCAGTAGGTTGGATGGCGGGGTGCTGGATGGAGGGCAGTAGGGTGGATGGAGGGCAGTAGGTTGGATGGCGGGGTGCTGGATGGAGGGCAGTAGGTTGGATTGAGGGCAGTAGGTTGGATGGAGGGCAGTAGGTTGGATGGAGGGCAGTAGGGTGGATGGACGGCAGTAGGGTGGATGGAGGGCAGTAGGTTGGATGGAGGGCAGTAGGGTGGATGGAGGGCAGTAGGGTGGATGGAGGGCAGTAGGTTGGATGGAGGGCAGTAGGTTGGATGGCGGGGTGCTGGATGGAGGGCAGTAGGGTGGATGGAGGGCAGTAGGTTGGATGGCGGGGTGCTGGATGGAGGGCAGTAGGTTGGATGGAGGACACTGGTTGGATGGAGGGCACTGGTTGGATGGAGGGCACTGGTTGGATGGAGGGCACTGGTTGGATGGAGGACACTGGTTGGATGGAGGGCACTGGTTGGATGGAGGGCACTGGTTGGATGGAGGGCACTGGTTGGATGGAGGGCACTGGTTGGATGGAGGGCACTGGTTGGATGGAGGGCACTGGCTGGATGGAAGGTACTGGTTGGATGGAGGGCACTGGTTGGATGGAGGGCACTGGTTGGATGGAGGGCACTGGTTGGATGGAGGGCACTGGTTGGTTGGAGGGCACTGGTTGGATGGAGGGCACTGGTTGGATGGAGGGCACTGGCTGGATGGAAGGTACTGGTTGGATGGAGGGCACTGGTTGGATGGAGGGCACTGGTTGGATGGAGGGCACTGGTTGGTTGGAGGGCACTGGTTGGATGGAGGGCACTGGTTGGATGGAGGGCACTGGTTGGATGGAGGGCACTGGTTGGATGGAGGGCACTGGTTGGATGGAGGGCACTGGTTGGATGGGGAAATGAATGAAAAGGAGGGCCTGAGCACACCTCAATGGCCTGGGTGTACTGCTCCAGCCGATCATCAATCTTGGAGATGGGCAGGGCTGGCTGGGACCTCTTCACACTGTTACTGGAGAGTAGGAGAAGGGTCATATCCATGCCCCCTCAGTAGGCTCCTACCCCCCCCCCCAGTCCTAGGCAGGGTGGGGCATTAGGTTGCCCTAGGAGAGCTCTCGGGCCCCCAGATCTCCAGCTCCTCTCCTGACCCCTCTGGAGAGCCTTGGGGCCAGGAAGGCAGCCAGACTCACCTCTTCTCGATGGAGCGGGTCAGGGACTCTGTCCTGTCGACGAGCTGTGCAGGGCAGGCAGCGATGTGAGCCTTCAAAGCTGAGCCAGGGCCACACTGCTCCCCTGCCCCAGTGTTGCTCCCCTGGATGCGGGTGTGGGAGGGGTGGGGGCAGGGCGGGGGCACAGGGCCGTGGCAGAGCAGGCAGGAGGGCTCCCTGTCGGGGGCCTGCCCCGGGCTGCTTCCTGGCTGGGAGAGGGGAGAGGAAAAGGCAGCAGGGTTTGGAGCTTGACCTACTTTAGTGCCGGGGCTCAGGGGAGGTGAGCTCAGTTCTGCTGTTTCCTCCACGACCAGGGGGCTGGGTGTCCTGGGCTGCTGACATTTCTGGTGCTAGGAACAAAACATCCGAGTGTAAGGGACCTAGACAACCACCTCCTGTGCACCCCTCCTGCCCCACCTGGGCCCTGATGGAGCAACTCTCCCCCCTGCCTGGGCCTCGGGCCCTTCGCAGCCCCGACACGCTCTGGTGCTGTACAGTCACCCAGCCCCACCACCCCTGAAAATGTGGGGGCTACACACTGCTGCCTCTCTCTGGGCTGGTCCCACGAGGCCCACGGGTGAGAGCAGCTGAAACAGACACAGCGCAGACCCTAAGGGATACCACCACCACCTGCTCCTCGGCCTCCTCAGCCTCTGCTGGGCCCGGGCTGCCCTGGCTGGTCTCCTCTGGGCCGGCAGGCTGTGTCTGCTCTGGCCCTGTCCCCTCCCAGGGCTCCGAGCCGGCGCGAAGACGCAGTCCCTCCAGGCAGACTCCGGCTGGGCTCAGCTCGCCACCATCCCGGGTCCCACAGGGCCTGTGGGAGGAAGGGGACACCGTCTGACCAGGGGTGGTTTGGTTGCTTGGTTCAAGTCCCTTCCCGTGTCCCAGGCTCAACTTCCCCATCTGTCAGGTGGCGAGGGTCAGACTTTGGAGTGCCGAGGTACCCCGAGACCAGCCCCTTTGGGGAAGTGGGTGCAAGGACCTAAGAGCCAGACCCTCTCCGTGGGGCCCTTGGGAAACAGTGCTCACTGCCCCATCCCCCGGAGCGCCACCCACACGCTGAGGCTGGACCCGGTCTCCAGACTCTCTGGATGGCTCTGCCTCATGTCCTTGCCACCCTGGAGCCTAGGCTGGCTGGTCCCGGGGCCAAGGCTGCCCTGCTCCCTGTTTGGCGAGTGGGGCTCAGAAAGAGGCTGTTGCATGGGAGTGAGGTGGGTCTGTGGGTGGCCGGGGTGGTCGGCTGGCGAGGGGCGAGGGCATGCTAGGGTGCACCCCTGACAGGGGCTGACTGAGCTGTCCGTGGGGGGTTGGGGGGAGGCCAGCCGGCTGCTCTGCACTTGAGCGGGACTGAACCTGGAGAAGAAGGTGGGAAATTTTCGAATTTTCCATGATTTCAGGCCCCTTGGTGTCTGTGCCAACCAAGACCCAGACCCACCACCCAGGGTGGGCCGGGGTCCAGCCAGCGGCAGGCACACAGAAGGCCCATTCAGTCGTGGTGTGGCGGCGGTGCACAGGGCCAGGCAGGTGTGGGGGTGCAGGGAGGGAGCCCGGGGTTCAACAGAAGAGCCAAAGCTCCCCCTGCTGCTGGGAATGGTGGCTGCCGCTGGCTGGGGAGAAAGGAGTGGGCCCTGGCCACCGCATGGACCCCAGCCCCACTTCAGAAACTCAGAGTGTGCACCAGTATGCGGAGGCAGACGGGGCCTGGGGCTGGGGGCCGGGGCAGAGGCCAAGCCGGTCCCAGGGCCCAAGTAGGCAGCAGCTCATGGCTGTGGTTTGCTCCTGGGCTGGAGCTGGCTGGCTGAACCACAGGACAGTTCTCAGCCACAGTCAGGGCTGCTTGGAGGGGCCGGGACGTGGCCCAGAGCAGGGAGAGAGGGGGTCTGGACACACTCAAGGCAAAGGGAGACCCCCAGTTGGAGCACCAAAGCAGAACTGGGGCCCTGAGCACGGGGGAGGGCTTTGTGCGTGGCCTGCAGAGCTCAGGGAGCAGCCTGGATCCTTGAACTTGGGGGGCAGGCAAGGCTCCAGGGGGGGAGCAGCCCCCAGCCCCCGCCCGCCCCGGTTCAGACCGGCAAACACGTCTGCACATCTGGAAAGCTGGTCCCCCAGGCCGACGCGCGGGCCCCACATCTGGAAATACCTGCTCCCCTCCGTGGGAATGGAGGCCAGCCAGCCCCGAGGGAGGAAGGGGCGGCGCGGGGGCCAGGGCCTCCATTACGTAAGTGGGCTGCAGATGTGTGCTGATGTGGCAACACCGCGGCCGCAGCTGGTCTGGACGGGGCCCAGGGCCCTGGGGAGCCCAGGAATGAGATTTCCTCACCACGCTCCCTCAGCCCTCGCCGCCGCCTTGCCGTCTGGTTCTCTTCCTCCCTTTCCCCCCCAGTCATGGGGCCTTTTCGGGGGTTGGCTGGGAAAGGGAGCAGAGGGCTATTGCTCAGGCATGTGTTGGGGGGCTTGCAGAGCCCCTGCCTGGAGGCCCTTCTCCCGGCTTTAACCCCTACTTGCCTGTCCTCTTCCTGCTCCTCCTCTGGACTGTGTGCCCGAGGGGGACGCTGCAGCTCTGCCCTCTGGGACCAGTCACCGAAACCCTCGTCCTCGTCCAGGTCTGGGCTTTCCGAGGTGTTCAGGCTGAGGTGGAGAGGACAAAACAGGGGACCGAGTTGGGCCTGGGTCCAGGGCAGGGGTGACCTCTGCCCACACTTCACCCCTCTCAGACCCTGTGTGATACGAAGGCACCGCATGGCTGGACCGTGTCTCCCTGCTGTCAGAGGCCCCCTGTATCCGGAGCCGCCCGAGGCCAAGGCTCGGCCATACCCCATTAAGGCAGGGATCCCCAAAACAAGGTTGTCTCTACCCCATGAGTTTACCATTCCCTGAGGGCTGGGCTATGCCTCCCCCTTCAGTCTAGGGCTCCCTGAAGGCTGGGCTGTGCCTCCCCCTTCAGTCTAGGGCTACCCGAGGGCTGGGCTGTGCCTCCCCCTTCAGTCTAGGGCTACCCGAGGGCTGGGCTGTGCCTCCCCCTTCAGTCTAGGGCCATCTGAGGGCTGGGTTGTGTCTCCCCCTTCAGTCTAGGGCTCCCCGAGGGCTGGGCTGTGCCTCCCCCTTCAGTCTAGGGCTCCCCGAGGGCTGGGCTGTGCCTCCCCCTTCAGTCTAGGGCCATCTGAGGGCTGGGCTGTGCCTCCCCCTTCAGTCTAGGGCCATCTGAGGGCTGGGCTGTGTCTCCCCCTTCAGTCTAGGGCTCCCCGAGGGCTGGGCTGTGCCTCCCCCTTCAGTCTAGGGCTCCCCGAGGGCTGGGCTGTGCCTCCCCCTTCAGTCTAGGGCCATCTGAGGGCTGGGCTGTGCCTCCCCCTTCAGTCTAGGGCCATCTGAGGGCTGGGCTGTGTCTCCCCCTTCAGTCTAGGGCCATCTGAGGGCTGGGCTGTGTCTCCCCCTTCAGTCTAGGGCTCCCCGAGGGCTGGGCTGTGCCTCCCCCTTCAGTCTAGGGCTCCCTGAGGGCTGGGCTGTGCCTCCCCCTTCAGTCTAGGGCCATCTGAGGACTGGGTTGTGTCTCCCCCTTCAGTCTAGGACCATCTGAGGGCTGGGCTGTGCCTCCCCCTTCAGTCTAGGGCTCCCTGAGGGCTGGGCTGTGTCTCCCCCTTCAGTCTAGGGCCATCTGAGGACTGGATTGTGTCTCCCCCTTCAGTCTAGGTCCATCTGAGGGCTGGGCTGTGCCTCCCCTTCAGTCTAGGGCTCCCTGAGGGCTGGGCTGTGCCTCCCCCTTCAGTCTAGGGCCATCTGAGGACTGGGTTGTGTCTCCCCCTTCAGTCTAGGTCCATCTGAGGGCTGGGCTGTGCCTCCCCCTTCAGTCTAGGGCTCCCTGAGGGCTGGGTTGTGCCTCCCCCTTCAGTCTAGGGCTCCCCGAGGGCTGGGCTGTGTCTCCCTCTTCAGTCTAGGGCCATCTGAGGGCTGGGCTGTGTCTCCCCCTTCAGTCTAGGGCTCCCTGAGGGCTGGGTTGTGTCTCCCCCTTCAGTCTAGGGCTCCCCGAGGGCTGGACTGTGCCTCCCCCTTCAGTCTAGGGCTCCCTGAGGGCTGGGCTGTGCCTCCCCCTTCAGTGTAGGGCCATCTGAGGGCTGGGCTGTGTCTCCCCCTTCAGTCTAGGGCTCCCTGAGGGCTGGGCTGTGTCTCCCCCTTCAGTCTAGGGCTCCCTGAGGGCTGGGTTGTGTCTCCCCCTTCAGTCGGGGCTCCCTGAGGGCTGGGCTGTGCCTCCCCCTTCAGTCTAGGGCTCCCTGGGGGCTGAGCTGTGCCTCCCCCTTCAGTCGGGGCTCCCTGAGGGCTGGGCTGTGCCTCCCCCTTCAGTCTAGGGCTCCCTGAGGGCTGGGCTGTGTCTCCCCCTTCAGTCTAGGGCTCCCTGAGGGCTGGGTTGTGTCTCCCCCTTCAGTCGGGGCTCCCTGAGGGCTGGGCTGTGCCTCCCCCTTCAGTCTAGGGCTCCCTGAGGGCTGGGTTGTGTCTCCCCCTTCAGTCGGGGCTCCCTGAGGGCTGGGCTGTGCCTCCCCTTCAGCCTGTGTTCCCGAACATGGGTGACCAGTGTCCTGCTCTCCTAGTTGAGCCCCTGCCCCCAGGACCCTTCCATGGGGTGCAGGGTGAGCCCCTGCACCCGTCTCCCACTGCAGACCCGTGATCCTGGTGCTGGTGGGCTCCCTGCCTCCCCCAGCCTCTGCCGGCTCTTCCCAGGACCTGGCCTGAGAGGCCGTGACCGCTGCAGGACCCCACCCCGCCCAGAGCTGCTGACTCGGAGAAAATGGAACAAAACAGGGCTGGGAAGGGGGCAATATTGGAAAAACAGCCCAGCCCAGCCGTGGAGGCCTCCTGGGCCTGGGAGGAAGCGAGCCGGCCCAGGGCCGGCCAAGTTGGACCTCATCTCCATGAGTCATCGGCAGCGGGAGCTTGGGCGGGGGGCTCGGGGGCCAGGGCTCTGCAGCTGGGGGCAGAGTCAGTCCAAGCAAGGGCCGGGACCACTCCGGTGGCCAGCTTGCACCCTGGGGCTGCTGGGAACGGCCCTGTGCGTGACTCCAGCCAGGCGTCCGGCAGGCTCCCCTGGCCCCTGGAGCTGTGGTGCCCCTCACCCCAAACGCCCACCACTCCTGTCCCTGATCTGGGGTTGGCCCCTCTTCAATCTCATCTGCTGTGGGACCCCCAGAGTAGAGCCTGGCCCACAGTGTGCCCCTCTGCCCGGGAGCAGGACCAGGTGAGGCAGCTTACAGCTTCTCCTGCTCGGGGGGCTCCGGAGACGGGCTGTCTCCATCCCGGTCCTGGTCCCGGTCCTGGTCCCGGTCCTGGTGCCTGTCTCTCTCCTGCCAGCGTTGCTGCCGGGCAACCTCCTCCTCGCCTTCCAGGCTCCACCGCGGGGCGAGCCTGGGGGACAAGGACAGAAGGTCACACCCTGGCCCACACCTCACTTCCCCCGTCCCAGCAGGCCTCACTGGGGCCCTCTCTGGGCCTCAGTTTCCCCATCTCTAAGGCAGGGTCATGTGAGATGGTCACGACGGTACCCTGGGCCGGAAGGGGTCCCAGGGTTCTGCAGGCACCTACACTGTGTGCCTCCTGGGGATGGGGCCCCAGTGTCCAGGCCTAGAGAGTCCCGGGCCCCACCACAGCCAGGATGCGGGCCGGCCGGGGTCCCTACAGGTTCGGAGAGCCGGTTGCAGCCACCAGACAGCGGTGCCGTGGGTCCCACCCGGGTCAGGCAGCTGTGGCCTTAGCCCGGGCGGGTGCTGCCGGGCTGGGCCAGGCTCAGGGAGGGCAGACTCAGCTAGAAGCCACCGCACCACCTTGACCGCTCTGGCCGGGGTGTTCCCCGAGAGCACAGCGACTTGGGTAAAAAACAGCCCCGCCAGAGGACCCGGGGCCCAGAGAAGGGGGTGCCTTGGGCCTGGGCCTGACCCCCAGGGGGTCCTGCAGGGCCAGCTCACCCGACACCATGCCCGCCCCTCAGAGCCCTCCGCGGGGGTCTCTCTGGGCTTGTCAGAGATGGGGAGCTGAGGCCCACTGTAGAGCCGGGCACAAAGAGCTTCCCCTCACTCAGGGCTACACAAAGTTGGCCTGGGACCGGGATCCACAGCCCAGCCCCCACCCCTGCTCCCCCACAGCCTGAGGGGAGCCCTGGGTCTCAGCCCCTCCCGCTCGTGTCCGCTGCCTGACCCCACAGCTCTCAACGCACTATCTCCTGGGCCTCCGCCCCGGGCCTCAGAGCCAGCGTGATCTAATCTCTCCTAAGTCTCCTTGGAGCCTCCCAGACAGAAGCCAGGCCCCTCCACAGCCTCAGCGCAAGGCCCGCTCCCCCCGCTGCGGCCGTGGGACTCTGGCCTCCGCACCCCCATCCGCCTCCCACTCCCGCCCCCGCGGGCCCCGGGGAGCCCCTGATTGCCCACACCTGGTCCCATCTCAGGACTCCTGAAGCCCCTCTCCGGGCCCGGGCCGGGGGCTGCAGGCCCCTCCGTGTGCAAGAAGGAGCCTGGGCTGCTCTTGGGGCTGTGGGGGAGGTGGGTCCAGGGCCCCTCCCCTCCGTGCACACCAGCACCCCTCCCAATGGTGAGTGGGAGGGTGGCGCCGGGTCCTGAGGCGGCCGAGGTACCCCAGAAGGGTTTCTCGGGGAGGGGGGAGACGGCCATTTTGTTCCCCTGGCTCTGTGTCCAAGCTGCACGGACCTGTGTGTGTGTCGGGGTGTTTTCGCCAATGTGTGGTGTTTGGGCATCTGCATGGGCCGGGGTGAGGTGTGTGGGGGCCCCTCCAGCACAGGGCCGCTCTCCTGCCCCCCGCCCCTCCACCGAGCCCTGCGGACCCGGCCCAGCAGGGTGCAGAGACCACTGTGTCTCGGGCTGGACACGTGCAGGGCCGGGTCCGTCCTTATGGGCTGGTCCAGGAGGGCGGCCGGGTGCTCCGCTCAGACCTGGGCCCCCGGCAGATACACACACTCTCTCCACGAGCCCCACTCACGGGCCCACGGAGGCACACGCACCCACACTCCACGCGTGGGCGCTGACACCCCCCAGGTGCACACGCGCACACACATGCACACACTTGCACGTGCGGATCAGACATGGGAACAAGGTGAGGGGGAAAATGGCAGGTCCAGCCCCCACTGTTTACTGTTTTCCTGGCCGTCGCCCGGGCAACGGCCCTGGGAGAGGCCAAGGCTCATTTGCTGAGAACATCCTCCCTGAGGCCCCTCAGAGGGTCACCCCTCCTGCTACGGGACCCCTGATCCCTCCGGGGCAGGGCGTTGGGGGGGGCAGAGTGAGGGTACAGGGTAGGGGTCTCCCAGTCTCTCCCCCAAAGCCCCACACAGGCCAAGCCCCCAGCAGCAGCCCCTGACCCAGCAGCCCAAGGACAAGGAGCTGCTAGCAGGCCCCTTCCCTCCGCCTCCTCCCTCCCTCCCAGCTGCCCCAGGATGTGAGTAACCGGCCCCTCCTGGCCCCCTCCCATGACCTCAGCCCCTCGCTGATCCACAGCTGGGCTCTGTTCTGGGAACTGAGATGGGGGTGGCTCTCTTGGGGTGGGGTGGGGGCCTCTGGCCTGGGAAAGGCGCCCCCGGCCAGAGGCCCAGACCCTTGGCAGGCTCGGCGGAGCTGTCAGGACGCTGGCGACAGCCGGCCGCCGCGGCCCAGCCCAGAGGCTGCAGCTGCAAAGGCTCTGCTGTTCCGAAGCAGATGCAATTAGGCGATTTCCTGTGTCTGTTCTGGCTCCGTGCTTGAGGCCCAGGGTTCAGCCCGGGGGGCGCGGGAGTGGGGCTTGGCCCCCCTCCCAGTGTCAGGCAGGCTCCACTGTGGGGCCCGGCCCCACCCGCATGCGCAGACTGCTGCCCGCAGACTCGAGGCTCCCCATTTTGAGTGGGGGTCCCTGAGTTCCATCGCCTACGGGCCCCCAACTCCGAACACCGGCCCCTCCTCTCCCTCCTCCACAGCCCCCATGCCCCCCTGACTGCCAGCAGTGCTGGTCCCGGGCCAGGCCCGGGCTCCCAGCTGTCCCACCCCCTTCCTCCCCTGCCCAGGGGCTGGCTCCAGAAGGGGCTTCAGGCCTTCGTCCTGTCTCGACTCTGCCCCCTGCAGGCGGCTGCTGGGCTGCCCCCTGCCTCTCGGTGGTGCCAGCAGGTCTGCCGAGTCCGGGGAGGGCTTGGGGCTGGGCTGAGGGGCAGGGGCGCAGTGCGGACACCCGGCTAGGCACTCAGGGGGGACTCCTCCTCTGGCCCACGGGGACCCTCCTGGCCACAGGTCCCTGGACACCTTGGGCAGGAGGCGGCTCCCCACCCTTGCGCCCAGCCTCCCTGGGGTCTCAAACACCATGGGTCGGAGTGCACACTTACAGAGGGACGGTCCTGAGTGAAGGGACAGAGTGGAGGGAACCGACCCACTGGGAGGCCTTCTCAGGGCTGGCTTCTGGGGGCTGCGCGAGCTGGTACCCCAAACACCCCAGTCAGAGCAGGCTCCCAGGGCAGAGGCTGGCCCCTTGGGGAGCACAGGAAAGGGCAGCGCCCAGGTGCCCCCCCGGTTGTGCAGCTCGGGAGGGGTCTGTGGGCTTGGTGCTGCCAGGTCCCGGCTGCCACTCGTCACTGCAGGGGCAGCTGGGGGGCACACAGAGCCTGCGCCAGCCAGCGAGCAGGTGGGTGGCGGGTGGGGCGCAGGAGCGTGAGGTGCCCCAAGCGGGGGTGTGGGCAGGGCTGCAGCTGCCAGCCCCACCCCCACCACCCGGGCACTGGTCCAGCCCGCCCCCTCCAGCAGCATCTCTCTGAGTTGCCCGTGCCTGGCTGGGCCGGGGGAGGCGACCCCTGTCCTGGGGGTCACAGCCTCATGGGTCAGGCAGACACCCCCCACCCAGGGAAGCTCGGGAGGCAAACTTGCACTTGGGTCTGGAAGCTGAGAAGAGCTTGTGGCCAGGGAGGTGGGCTGCACAAATGCACAGGCAAGAAGGCCAGTGGCCTACAGACCCCAGGGTGGCCGCGGCGGGGAGAGGGGCGGAGGTCCCCGCGTCCCTCGGGGCACGCCGGCAGGCCCCGCGACAGCACAGGCAGGTGGGGTTAGCGTTCTGGAAGGAGGCCCAGCTGGGACATGGAAGAAGGTATAGGCCCAGATGGTCCACCACAATCTCGGGGAGCCCAGGAGGGTAGATTTGGGGGATGCACAAAGTTGAGCTTGGACTCGCAGAGTATGGGGTACGTAGCAACCCCCCTGGAGATGGTCCATCGGGAGGGACTGCAGGGGAGGAGGGAGGAGCTCTGGGGGGAGAAAATCCGCAGGAGCCGGGAAGGCAGGAGCCCCCCTTCTGCACCCTGGGGCCCTTCTGCTCCCTGGGGCACCTCCAGGTTAGATCCCAGGCCGGCCCGCGGGTTCCAGACAGTCATGGGAGCACCACAGGGCCTGCCTAGTGTCCCCACGTGTGCGGCCGAGGGAGCGGATCTGTGTGGGCACGCAGGGGGCCAGCTCCTGACCCGTCACAGTGACTCCCAGGAGGGGCGGCAGGGAGGGGCCTGGGCTCCGGGTTTGGGAAGATTCAGGCGGCCAGGCTAAGCGGAGGGATCTGGGGCCACAGAGGTTCTGAGCAGGGAATGGGGGGCATGGCGTGGACGGTGATTGGAGGGGACAGGAGGGGTGTGGAATGGAGGGAGGGCTGAGGGGACCCACCACAGGGCAATGTCAGGCAAGTCATCACTCAGTCACTTGAGGAAGGAGGGCCCCGGCCGCCTGGGGAGGGGCGCAGGGAGGCCTGAGAGGGTGGAGGCTGAGGCCATGGCAGGACGGTGGTCTCTCTGACCCACCCCCTTCCCGGAGTAAGACCTCAGACCCAGCCTCTGGCTCCCCATCTGCAAAGAGGGGCCCTGGCCCCTCAGCAGGGTGACAGCTGAGCCTGTCCCTGGGCAGCCCAGCTGCAGCTCCCCCATGTTGGTGCTGCTGGCTGGCCTGTGCCCCGAGGGGGCTGAAGCCCAGGAAGGGCAGGCCTGGCCCACGCCCCATACTGTGTCCTTGCTGGCCGGAGAAGGGGACATCTCCCGCAGAACTGGCTTCCCCCACAAGCAGAGATGACGGCGGTCACCGCGAAGGCTCAGGCTGGGGTGCCGGCTACCCCAAGTGGCGAGGCCCGGGGCTGGGGGAGACTGGGGCACAGAGCTGGGGAAGAGAGCCTGCCTGCACATGGGGCCCCGGGCCCCGAGGGGCAGCCTCCAGGAGGAGGGACGGGGCCTTCGGCTCCTTCCCAGCCTTGCGGGGGAGGAGGACGGTGTGACCCGGCTGCCAGCTCCCCTCTCTGAGCTGTGGCACAGCTCTCTTAGGGGTGTCTTCCCAGCAAGTGACATGAGCCTCCTCCATCAGCGTGGGCTCTGCGGGCCCGGCCGGGCCGCCCCACCTGGCACCCATGTCTTCCCA